GTTGCTGTGTCAACCACACTTTTTCATTCTTCCACCATCTCATTTACCCACAAACTTAGCTGCTTTTCCATTTTTTCAATTCCCTCCTTGCACACTTGAGAGGTTACTTTAGCACTTTCTGGAACAGATTCACAAACACTTTTATGAATACTTTCCTCCTTTTTGCAGATTTAATGAATTGTCACACCAAATTCAAGGCCAACAGTGGCTGCAGACGTTCTGGCACAAAGTTTATCTAGCACCTTTATTTTCCTATTAAGCCACATCACTGACTTTGCGCACTTGGGCTAGGAGCCCAAAGGACTTGCACTATACTTTGGGGGTATAATTGCAACACAAAACTTAAGTTTTCAAGGCAAACAATTACACAGGGAACTCTTTACTCTAGCGGTAGGGTGAACAAGACCAGTGAAGTGCCTAGTAGGATACCAGTTGATCCATAAACTTAGCATTATGCCTCTCATTTTTCTCTCTGCTGCACATAGCTGTGAATGTGTGCAGTTGCCAGTAGGAAAGAGTTACTAATAAAATCACTGAATAAAGTCTTAAAAGCTAAATGGGAGAATGTTGAGAATTAACTGCATGTTGGTGCAGTTCGTATATGAGTATTGAATAGTATATAATTATTTATTAACATAAAAATTATTTTGTAGTTTATTTTTATGTGGCCTATATGTGTGTATCTTGGTATAGTAATTCCCAAGTATTTAATGCGTTATCTCACTTTAAATTGAATCCTATTCATATCTTTCTTCATTTATTCAATACAAATCTTTTAAGTACCTACTATGTTCCAGGTACTGTAGGGGTGCTAGAATTACAAGGGGAAAAAATTAACCCATTCCTGTCCTATTGGGAGTGTACAATAATAACATGTATGCAGAAAAGTAAACTAAACTAGAAGTAAACTAAAAGAGGGACAGGATATCACGTATAGTTAATAGCAAGCAGGCCAGTTTGTCAGAAACCTAAAAATGAAGAAGATTAACATGCAATGAGCCTGGAAAATTAAGTTAGACTAAAATTGTGAAGGGCTTTAAATGCTAAAAAGAGAAGTTTCTTTTTTATCCTCAAGGAAATAGGAAGCAATTAGAATTTCTTGATGATGGCAATGACATGTGCAAATGCTGGTTTGGAAAGGGGAAAGATTAGATGCTAGGAGACCAGTTAGGAGGCTATTGAAATAGTCTAGACAAGAGATGATGAGGGTCTGAACTAGGATGGGTGGCAGTTTGAATGGACAGAGGAACATACAGGAAAAGAGAGGTAGTAATTCATTGATGAAAGCAGCTTCAGAGAGCACGGCCTCTGGCAACAGAGAAGAGAGCCAGCTATGGAATCGTGAGAGTTGTTATGTCCTGTGAAAAGCAAACCCTAGAAACCCAACTGATTAACCTCCTACAGGAAATGCAGTACCAAGGTTGGGGAGGTGGCAGGAGGACTTCATTAGTATTACACCGGTGAAGAATTTCAAGACCCATCCATCAGTAAAGGGGGCAGTGAGTCACCTTGGCCACATGTATACTTTACCATCATTATATTCTAAGTTTATGGCCCATTCTGCCCAAAGATTTTGTGTGTATTTGGGGAGAGTGCACTATAGATTTATAGGGAGGGGGGCAGTGTTTTATAGCTACTATTTTTACACTGATATCTTAATAAATGCCTTTGCTTTGAGCTAATTTAGTCTCCTGGATGTCTGTTAATGAGAAGCACAGCAGTAGAGGGAAAAGAGTATGTGTATGAGGATATACAAACCCCAGAACCTAGGAGTAGCAGTCCTCTCTGGGGACCAGACCTGTGAGTTCAAGTGTAAGTGGGGTGGATTAGCCCAGACCGGCAACACTTCAGTTATTAATGTCTATTTTTTCCATTTATTTAGTTTTCTAATTCTGCCCCTCTTTTAGCCCTAGTGAAGCAAATAGTTTAGAATCTTCATTCTCTCCTCCCGTCTAATTTCTTATTTTTAGTAACTTTCTTTCGTTAAAATGTGTTTTTATTATTTATTTAAGAAATATCAAACATGAACATTTCAAAACATAATGAACAAATATGCGAGATACAAAAGAGCACTATATATAAAACTGAATTATATTATTTATACTTTAAAAATACCTTATATCAAAAATAAAAGTAACAAAATTGCCCTGATTATATCCCTTTATGAACTTCCTTCTGCCCTCCTGTTTTTAAAGTGTTTCTGACACTTTATTTTTTAATCCCCTACCCTTTCGTTAAAAACCTTCCCTTGTAACAAATAAGTATTGTGTCACACAGATTCTTTTTTGAGTCTGTTGATTAGGTGCTGCCAATAAACCAGCAACAAGATAGAGATATGGTCACTGCAGTTTGTATTCACTCAGATTGAAACTGCATCTCACTGGCAAATGGATAGAAATGTACATCTTTTACAATGTAGCTAGGTGTGTGTGTGTGAGAGACAGAGACAGAGACAGAGAGATTCATTCCATTTCACAAATGGAGTGGGGGATAACTACTTGTAACAAAGCAGCAAGTTATATTAAAAAAAAAAGGTATGCATTTTAAAGAGGTTGTATAGCACTAGTTAGAGGATATAAAGAAGGAACATGTGCTTGTTAAAGTACAGCTGTTCACATGAGATTAAAAGGGTATTTATCATTTCTGATGCAAGATGAAGAGCAAAAAAGTCCTTTGCAGCAATTAAAAGTAGAAAGACAACACGGAAGGAAAATAGCTGTTATAAGCTAATCCTGCGATGTGTGCTGAGGCCACACATAAAAAATAGTAAATTAGCACCAAAAATGGGTTGATTACATCAATTCTTAACTGTCCACTCTTAATTCTTAATAATCCAAGCAAATCAAGTCATCACATTGCCATGTCTGAAAATGTATTAAAAGTTTTTCTCTGTTTGCTCAATTCCTTAGGATCTCTACTATTATTTTAGGTGGAGGCTTGCTTGTGTCAATTTCTTTTCTTATTGATTTTCAGCTTTGGGGTGATGGTACATTTATTGGTTTTTTGAGGTTATGAAGGGAAGCTAAGTTCCATTGATGAACTTTGATTTCAGCCATCTTGCTAAAAGTTCCTCAAAGCCTCCTTTTATTCAATGAAAGGTAGAATTCATTCTTTTAATTTCTCATTATTGTGAAATAATTTGGGAAAATGTCACCACTCTCTATTTATTTATTTTTTATTAATTTATTTTTAGTTTTCAACAATCACTTCTATACACTTTTAAATTTTAAATTTTTCTCCCCCTCCCTCCCCAAGACGGTGTGCAATCTGATACAGGCTCCACATATTCATTTCTATTAAACATATTTTCACATTAGTCATGTTGTAAGGAAGAATTAGAACAAATAGGAGGAACCACAAGAAAGAAGAAACAGAATGAAACAGAAGGGAAAAAAAAAGAGCAAATAGTATGCTTTGATCTACATTCAAACTCCATAGTTCTTTCTCTGGATGTGGATAGCATTTTCCATCATGAGACTTTTGGATATGTCTTAGATCCTTGCATTGCTGAGAAGGGCTAAGCCTATCAGAGATGTATACTCTCTTGTAAGTTAATTTCATTTGAAACTTTATTTTAATTTATATAATTTAAATAATCCTTCATTGAAGTCCAACTTCAGTGTCTCAATATAATGGGAAGAATATTGAATTTGGAGTCAGAAGAGGTTCCATAACCACCACTGACTAATGTTAGTGGTGTGATCATGGACAAGTCATTTAACTCTCTGAACCTTTTCTTTCTCTTAAAAAAAAAAAGTGAATGATGCCCACAGTACCTACCCCACAAAGCTATCGTGAGCATCAAATGAGATAATATATATGAAGCAACTTGTAAATCTTAAAGCAAAATACAAATGTCAGCTATCATAATAATGTATTATTCATTATTATTATTGTGGTATGAAGTTGAGCCAAGGTCCTTTAAGACTATTTCATCAGAACTCAGTTTCCGGTGTGTCCTACTAAGCAGGAAAGGATCCTAATGCAGACCCCAGGATTGGAATGAAGTTCTGTCCTCCCTAAGTTTGAAGAAGCTTATCCCAGAAAAGTTAGCCACTAGGTGATAGCTTCTTTAGCCATATCAACTTATAAATACTTTTTTGTAAGGTTTTGGGGAGTTGTATAATCTACACAGCTGGAACGGTAGCCGACATCAGTGAAATCTTGGAGTAGGGTTTTAGATTTTTGGTTTTTGTTTTTCTGTTGGACTTGTGATATCATTGGAGATAGGAACTCCCAGTGAGGAAATTCCCCTTTGGCAATGAAAATGGTAACTGTTCTCCAGTAAGAGAGTTGCTTAGGGTCATTGAGAGGTTTCATAACTTGCCTAAGGTCAGAGAGCCATTTTTTGCTAGAGACAAACTTGAACCTAAGTCTTTCCATCTCTGAAGATGCCTCTCTATCTACTATGTCATAGATACTTGCAATAGAATAAAAAGTTATAATAGGGGGCAGCTAGGTGGTGCAGTGGACAGAGCGCCGGCCCTGGATTCAGGAGGACCTGAGTTCAAATCTGATCTCAGACACATAACATTTACTAGCTGTGTGACCCTGGGGAAGTCACTTAACCCCATTGCCTAACCAAAAACAAACATACAAAAAAAAAACTATCCAAAAAAAAAAGATATAATAATTTCTACTGAGAGTTGCTTTCAACAACTCCCAGTTTTCGAATAACTATTATGAATGATAGTCCTCAGTTTACATATGGTAAAAATGATACAATAGCCAGTTAATGGCACAGTGAATGGAGTTAGGAGACCAGAGTTCAAATGTGACCTTAATCAATTACTAGATGTATGACCCTGGGCAAATCATTTTAACATCTCTTTGCCTCAGTTTACTCATCTGTAAAATGGGGATAATAATAGCACCTACTTCCAAGGGTTGTTGTGAAGTGTTTCACAAATCTTGAAGTGCTATTATTGTTGTCCAAAATCTGTCAGAGAGCCAAGACTTAATGACTAGTTTTTAATACTTATGTGCTTTCTTCTTTGCAGACTTATAAGCTTGCAATTACAGATTTAAATATAGCTATCTCCATGAACAAAGCCTGTTTTCTAGCATTTTATAACAGAGCAATATGCTACAGCAAAATAAAGGAATTTTATATGGTAAGACAATAAATATCCTTTTTTAACTAAATAGAACATTAATGCACCTCTTCTCATTGAACTACCGTACTGCTCAAGCTCACTTTTACATTAAACACTGCTCCTGCAAGAGGTTAAAAGGAAAGTCAATGCCTTGATCTCTGTACTCTCATTTAAAAGCATACATAAATTAAGATTCAGTATGCAGTGAATTCCAGTTTCATTAGGAGTTTTTATTGACTCTATGGGACTTGAATATTTAAGCAAACAAACTGACTGCCATTACTTCAAAAATTTAATGAAATCATGGGCTCAGAAAAGTTTTATAGAGATATTTCTTGAGACAGAGACTGGGCAAAATAAGCACAGTACTATAAGAGAAAGGGGCAGGTGTTCTGAAGTCAGAGGACTTGAGCTAGACCGCTGCCTGATACCCTGGCAACCTCTTTGTATTGCAGGTACCTTTCTCAACTAAGGTGATGGGATAGACTAGTACAAATGCAAAGACAGTACAAACTCTGCAGTCCAGTGTAATGGAGTAGAAAGAACTTTGTATTTTAAAAACAGAAGACCTAGTTCTAGCAAGGCAACTTTGGACCCATCATCTCCCCTCTCTGAGAAGATGAGGCAATGTTGTATAGAACCATGGACCTGGAATCAGAAAGACTTTGGTTCACATCTGCATCTGATATTTAAAAATCAGCTAGGTGGAGCAGTAGACATGGAGTCAGAAAGACCTAGGTTCAAACCCTGCCTTGGGCGTTCTCTAGCTGTGTGACCCTAGGCAAATCATTTAATCTCTGTGTGCTTCAGTTTCCCCTTCTGTAAAATGAGGCTAATAATAACACCCACCTCCCAGAGTAGTTGTGAGGGTCAAATGAGATAGTATTCGTAAAGCACCTTGTAAAACTTAAAGTGCTATATAAATAAATGGTAGCTGCTATTATTATTAATTATTATTATTTTTGTTAATGGGACCAAAGACTCTCAGTGCTTCTGATAACTCATCTATAAAATGGGATCAGTAATACCTGTAGTACCTGTCTCATAGGGTTGTTATGAGATTGGAGGGAATATATATATATACATATATATATATATATATATATAAAGCACTTTGTAAGTTTTCAAGCACTATCTAAATATCAATTGTCATTATTGTTAGTTTCTTCATCTGTAAAATGAATGTTGCTGGAATAGATCTCTAAGGATCCTTCCAGCTCTAAAGATATAATGCCTTTTTTTCACTTATTTCCTCATGTCAGAGATTCCCTGATAATGACAAGGACCCAGGCACCCAATGAAGTGAGTGACTTTTTTGCTTTCCAGGCGATCAGGAGTAAATGACTTGCCCAGGGTCACACAGCTAGTGTCTGAGGCCAGATTTGTTGACTCTTCCAGGGCCAGCACTTTATCCACTGTGCTACCTAACTGCCCCTGTGACTTTTCATATCTCTGTCTTGTCCCCACCCAGATGATTTGGTTCCTTGCTAAACTTTGATCTTTCCCCTTTCAGAATAGACCTTTCAGTATCAGAATTCCTTGTCAGGGAGGTAAATAGTCCTCAGTTTCTGGATCCCTCCACAAAAAAGCTTTTGTTGCCCTTACCTCCCTTCTCCACAACTTTGTGTCTCTCTCTTCTCCCCTCCTACCATCTCCCTTATTGTCTTTTTCTTTTCCTTTCCTTTCCACTTTCTACATTAAATTTGTTTAGAAGGATAACCTCCTTAATCTCTTTCATTAATTCTCTCCTGTTGTAAAATGAGGCTATTTATGGAAAATTTTAGACATTTGTAAATAAGTTGTTAATTGAAAGATTTTGGAAAACACTGTTCTAGTGTTAAAAAGTATTACTCTAATTTTAATTGTGGGTTCATGGTAGCTTCCCCTTGTTAATAAATAATATTGACCTAATGAAGGATTAGAAGTCCTTCAGCAACTGAAGATTGCTTAGAATATTTGATGTTTGTAACTGCCCAACAGATTGTTATTAAAAAAAAAAAAGAGACAGTTTTGCTTCTCTAGAAATTGCTAGACAACAGCACTGAGAAGAGAGTTTCATAGAGCCCTGAACTTTTAGTCAAGAATGTCTGGGTTTGAATCCCATTTATGACACTTTCTGTCCATGTGAACATGGGCAGGCCTCCAAGGCTCAGTCCTCAGACTGAAAATGGGGTTATCTCCATTTTACAGCAATCTACCTGACAGGATAGTTGTTAGGATAAAAAAAAAGGATCTTAAATGTTTTTCAGAACCTTCAAGTGCAATATAAATGTAAACATTATTATTAGTGATATGCTCTTTAAGATAATTACCCAACTTATGTGAGCAAATGACCTTAAGTAAAAAATACTTAAAATAAGATTCACTTCAAATGCTAGACTTTTAGAACTAAAAAGAACTTTAAAGACCACCTAGTTCAACTAGCTATACTTATAGTAGAGGTTTGGGTTGCTCCCCTGCCCCTAACCCCACCCTCAGGATTAATATATATATATATATGATATTACATATATATATATATTATATATATATTATATATGTGTATTATTATATTATATATTATATTTTTTTTGCTTTTTTTTTGGTGAGGCAATTGGGGTTAAGGGACTTGCCCAGGGTCATACAGCTAGTAAGTCTCAAGTTTCTGAGGCTGGATTTGAACTCAGGTCCTCCTGAGTCCAGGGCCAGTGCTCTATCCACTATGCCACCTAGCTTTAAATAAAAAGCTAATAGCTTTTAAAAGCCATTTTACTTCCAAAAATTAAATCAGTTGACATTTTATTGTGAAACTCTGCCTCTCTGTTCTCATGCTATAACTGCCCCATGTTATGAGGATAACAAAACCCATTTTCCCACCCAAAATGAATGTAGGCTTTTCCCACAAATAAAGAAGTATATGAAAACCACACTAAGGGGTAGCCTGGGTCCAGCTCTACCACACCCTGCTTTAAAAAGTCACAAAACCTCCCAGGGTTTCAGTTTCCCAACCTATAATATAAGGATTAAACCAGGGGTTTTCAAAGTGTGATGCAGGGACTTTTGGGATCCCTGAGACTTTGTAGGGGTCTGCATGGTCAAAACTATTTTCATAATAATACTAAAATGTTCAATTTATAATATGGTAAATTACTGATAACATAACTCACATAAACAGAAACTTGGGGAGCAAAGGAGGCCTCAATAATTTTCAGAAGTATTAAAAGGTCCTGAGACAAAAATGGTTGAGAACTGCTAGATTAGATGATCTAAACATCCTTTCCAACACTAATGTTCTTATGAAGGTTGATGCTAAGTGTGTTTCTAGCCCTATCACTTGATTTTTCAATATCTTCCAATTTTTGTAGACCTCGAGTATTTTCATGAGCATCCTAGCTATAGCTGCACTGATTTTCTTCAGATGCTTATTGTAAATAGCTTTTAAAGATTGTAATATCTTGCTCTCAAGCTATGTTATCACAGCTGCCACATTATTTTTGTGCTTTAGTATCATAAAAGCATTTGGAGCTGTAGTCTTTTCTTTGCAGGACTCCATGGGGAAGATGTGGCCTCATCTTGAATGAAGACATGGCTCCAATCTGTGCTATAGTAGTTTGAAATATAGGTAAAGAAATTGGATAATACTATTAGGTCCCAGATTTGACTCAGAATCATAGAATTTAAGGGTTAGAAAAGACCTCAGTGACATACTAGCTGTGTGACCCTGGGCAAGTCACTTAACCCCACTGCCTAGCCAAAAAAAAAAAAAAGACCTCAGTGGCCATCTATCTAGTCCAACCTATACACCAAAGAAATCTCCAACACACCTGACAAATGGTAATCCTAGCACTACTTAAATACCTTCAAGGAGAGGGAACCCATGACCTTTTGAGATAGGCCATTGCACATTTAAAACAGCTCTAATTTATTAGGAAGCTTTTCCCAAGACCAAACTAAATTTGCAAACCTCTTTGCGACTTTTACACATTGCCACTGGCTCAACATTTTATTCATCTTGTCTAAAGCAACTCTGGTTAATGTCTTTATGTAGAAAACAAGTATTAACATCGATTAATTAAGATACTGTTTTTAAATTCTTTCCTGAAAGGTTTTGATTTAGTAGCTTAGGTAATACTATTCCTTTTAGAACAGCTGCCATTACTTACATTAATTACCTAACTTATTTACTTAAATAAATAAGGCTGGTTTCTGTTAGGCAAGCCTCATACAAAGGAGCATAAGATTTAGAAGGGCCCTTAGGGATTATCTAATCTGACCTGCCTCATTTTATAGATGAGGAAACTGAAGCACAAAGTGGTGATGCAACTTCCCTAAGGTCACACAGCTAGTAGGTGGAAGAGCCAGGGTTGAAATCGAGGTCTTCTGACTCAAACCCAGCACTCTGGTATGGTTGTTCCTAATGTAGAAACTGTTTGAAGAGAATAGACTATTCCTCTTCCCAGGGGAATGAGCCAGGTTTGAGGTTGATTAGGACTAAAAACCTATTTTCTCAGTGTTGTAAGGGAGAGCTATAATGTTCAACATAATTGCTTCCCTCAGTGAATTTATAATCTACTTGGGCAAATACACAAAAAGGAGACTGATACAAGATAGTATGTGATAAATGTCATGCAAATCAAATGGTAAAGAGTTAATTTGCTAAGGAAATTCATAGAAGGAAGTGATCATTATATGCTGGGATGGTTGATGGTCTGGTAAGACTTCACAAAGGAGTTGGGATCTTAATTGGGCCTTGAAGTACACATTAATTCGAATGAATAGTAAAGAGCTCAGGGTAAGACATTTCAATTGTTTTGTGTGCATGAGGCAATGGAAGAGCAGTGAGGAGATAGCCAAGTGAGCTCCCGGGAAACTAAGTAGACCACTCTGGCCAAAGGAGAGGATTAATGAAGGGGAAATAATGGGAAATAAAATTGGGGCCAGTTGAGGGCATTGAATACCAGGCTATTTTTCCCATTTTGCTTCAAACACTCATCTAGTTCCTGCATATAAAAAAATTATTTATTGACTCATGAAAGATTAGCTAAGAAGTCAGCATAGTTAAGAGCTAAAGAATAAGAAGCATATAATTCACATATACTTGTAATTATGGACAAGTAACAATAGTTGTAAATAAACTGTCCAGACCTCAATTGAAATAAACAAATGATTACTGAGAACAATACATTCTAAGAACAATGAATGAAACTAATAATTTAGATATAAGCTTGGACAATACATCTAATAGTATGCAACTGAATTTAAGTTGTCTTTTTTAATTAAATCAGAATTTAAAGTGATTGTTTAAATTTTGCAGGCTTTAAGGGATTATGGAATTGTTCTTCTTCTCAACGTGGAAGATGACATAAAGGCAAAAACTTTAGTTAATCGTGGTCTGATCTACACGGAACTAAAAATGGTTGCCAATGCATTAGAGGTAAATGGATCTTGCAAAATTTGTCTATTTGACATTGCATATCTGCTTCTGAAGAGTAATGCACAATCTTGTCATAAAATAGCAATATTAAAGAAGATGTGGGAATTCACTTATCTTAAGATTATAATATAATGTGTTGGATATTTTAATGACTACAATAAAAATTAAAATATGTTTATATACATTTAAGAAAAATGTCCATTGAATTTTCAAAATTGGTTGGTATTGTTAACCTGAAAGTTTGGTTAAAGAAGGCAAACAAGTTAGGTGATACATGATTATATAGTTTATTCCCTTTTAGCTAGCGAATCATGTTAACATGGGAGCCAGAATGCGATTCTGACTCCGAGATTAAGCATAATGAGAGGGGTTTTATAGTTTAGAATGATCAGACTCAAGATGTCTGTTACAAAAAAAAAAAGGTATAGCCTCCATATGTTTCCTAACATACAGCATAAAAAAAGGAAGTTACCTAATTGCATAGATTGCAAATACAATAGAAGAATGTCAAAGTATCAATCAAAATCATAGATCTGGGATATGTGTTTCCTCTACATAACGTATGTCTATAGGATACAAAACAAGGAAAAGTCTCATCAATCAAGAGAGTGTTTGGTCCCAGACATCCCGGGCTCAGTGATGACGAACAGGAAGAATGTTGGTGAGCTCCACCCGGTCCTGAAATTTGCTAACACAGGAAGGGGTGTTTTTAGTTCACTCAGAGAGAAAAAGATTAATTCAGGTTTTTGGCCCCTGTTGGGGCCCAATTGATCTCAAATGATTATCAGTATATACCTCTTACTTAGTTTGAAGGTCTCTTTTCTCTTAGAAGTAATTCTGATATATTGGGAAGAAATATTAAGGTGCAAGTTAAAGTTATCATTAAACCATCTTCAGGGTCTCAATTTCACAATACATTTGAATTAAGGGTTTTTGTTACCTTACTCATTTGCTAAAATAACTATTTCCAAATGAAATATATTTAAGATAGACTGAAGATACCAAAATATATGACTTCTTTTAGATTGTGAACCTAATGACAAAAACACTAAATTAATTCTTTATTGCTTGTCTATATGCTCTAGGTACTTAATATTCCAATACATCAATGGATTTGTGGTTTCATCAATGTGAATGTTGTTTCAATGATAGACACCTCAACCCATCCTTGTCTGCCCATCTTATATGACTCTCATCTTTGTCCTCCCATAGGGAGACATCTCTGTCCTGTCACAGGAGATTTATTCCACATGTTGAGAACCTACTTTGAGTACTCAGCGTTTGATAGATATCAGTGAAACATGCAGACTATCCATTGGTTTTTCATCAGTTCATCTGCTTTTTCTCTTCATAAGATTCATGTAACACTCTTTATATTACTTCTGCATAGTTCTTCATTTGTAGTGGGTTGAAGCATGATTTTTAAGTAAAGAAAAATGCTTTGTTTAATATGTTTGAAATACATGTTTCAAAACTATCGTTTTACCAAGGCAGCATTTAAACTATACTACATATTCAATTCCTTGGCAAATAACAAAGCACTTTTTGTATGATTTATTCCATCACTCTTAGTTTCCCCATCTTCATACAGAGAATGCTAGGTTAGAAAACAAACTAATTTGTAAAACACTACAGAGGAAGATAGTAGAAGACTTTAAGTATTTTCACCTCTTAGCAAGTGAAAAACAATGGAAGCAAAAACAACTGTACAAAAAGCTTCAAATGAGACCTACTCACATGAACTGCATCATAACAAAAGGATTCATAGATATTTAGATAGCAGGACAATGAAAAAAGTACAAAATAGAACAAATTCTTCAGTGTTTTTTGTTAATACTCCATATTCATCATCAGAATAGAAAAATGAAAAGGTAAAAATGGCACACAAGAAGGTGGAGTTCAAAAGATTGTCTGAAACAGATAAACCACATATATACTGAGGAAATATTTGCTAGAAATGATTTGAAACTTGTAGCATTTAGGGGTAGTTTTACAAGATACCTCAACAGGGAAAGAAACCAAAAGAATGGAAAAGCCACGAAGAAGTTTGACACACAGGAAAAGGTAATGAAGAGATACCAGCAACTATGGATCCATATACCATTCTTATCTTTATAAAACTTTTATAAGAATTGTCTACATGTGTGTTGATATCCCTGATGAAAATACAAGCAGGAAACAAGCAGGTATTTCTAAATAATACTGTAGATGTCAAAGTCACCTGACTAGGTGTCAAAATAAGACTTCACTGTCTCAAAAATCTCCGAAAAGAGGAATTATGCACTGGAAATAGAGCAATTACACCAAATTGACAGGATAAAAAAGGGGAAAAAATCCTGACAAAGTGAAACTTCATTAATTAACACCAGAGAACACTAATCCATAAAGCATTCATTTTGTACCCCTCCTCCATTATCTGCCTCTGGTAGGGACATAGGAAACATCTCTAGTTGATCTGTGGGCTTATGCCTGGAACCCATGCCAGGATTGCCTCCTACATGTAGAAAGTATTGCCCACTTCACTCCATATCTGTGTCCCCTACCAGGACCAAAAGAAGACAAGAAAAGAAACAAGTGCCAAAATTTATCATTATTGAAACAGAGTTTGTTTTTAAACTCAATTAGATTAGAAACATTATATCCATGGTGGAAAACTTCTCTAAAGGTAAAAAGGAGAGAGCATATTTGGAATACAAAAATTCTGAAGGAAATTTTAGCAGAAGAGAAACAAGTTAATGTTAAAAGAACATATGATCTTGGGGCAGCTAGGTGGCCCAGTGGATAGAGCACCGGCTTTGGAGTTGGGAGGACCTGAGTTCAAATCTGGCCTGAGACCAAACACTTGACACTTACTAGCTGTGTGACCCTGGGCAAGTCACTTAACCACAATTGCCTAAAAATAAACATAAATTAATAATAAAAAAAGGACATGTGATCTTTATATAAGCCAAAGCTACTGATCTTGAAGGTAGGATGCTAAAAGACTATTTAACAATCATACGTCTCCCAGAAGAGCATGACAAATTTAAAAAAAAAAAACTGAACACCATAATGCAGGAAATAATACAAGAAAATTGATCTGAATACAGAAAATAAAGGACCATGAAAGAATCCACAGATCACCTCTGGGGGAAAAAGGAAAAGAAAAAAACCTGAGCTTCAAATTTCAAGATAAATAGTGGTCAAATCAAGCAATTCCACTGACAAACAACAAATTCTACAAGCAGAAGGAATAAATAAGATATAGATTACAAACAAGAAAATAAAATTTCAGAATATATAGGATAGGAGGGGAAGAGATTTATTAAAGGCAAAGCAAAAAAAAAAAGCTCAGGAAAAGGGGTAGAAAAAAGACCAACAAAAATTTATCTGAAGAAACAAAAGATCTAGAATATCAATGGAAATAATGGAAAAAGGTAGAAATGAAGATGGAATAGCGTTTTCAGACTTCAAACTATACAGCATTTCTAGACTTCAAATAATCAAGTTTGGTCTCAGAGAAACATGAAAAGTATATCTTCTTTGCATAGTTGGAGTAATATAGGAGTGGAACACTGAAAATAGTGTCAGACTTTTTAATTATGTGTATTAAGTTTGTGGAATATGTTTTCCCCATCTTTCCTTACTCTTTATTATAGGTGATGGCTTTCTAATGAGGGTAGGATAGGGGCATAATGAAAATATAAATAGTGTAATAGCAAAAGTCATCAATAAAAATTTACACTAAAATATTCAATAAAAGGTTTCATCTTTATGGTAGGTGGAAAAAAATACAAGGTCTCTGTGTTTATCGTCTGATGATTACAACAACACATTTGATTCAAGAAAGCAAAATGTATCCTCATGCATTTCTTTCAAGGAATCTTTTACGCATATATTACGATGATACAAGACTCCCTAATAAATACAACCACCGCAATTGCTGTTTAATGACCCTCTTTCTAACGCCATGTTGCATAAAAAAGATGTCTAATCACAAAAGATTTTCAATATTACCATGAAGGGTGTCTTATGCAAAGTACAAGTTGGAGTAGGATTCTCTAGAGATAGTGAGACAGTCCAGATGTTTCTGTTTGTATATTATCCTAGCAACCTCCAGAAAATTAGAGGACCACCTCAATGAGAGGACCATGACTATTTAAAATAGATTGATCTAAAAATCTATGTATACAAACTAAAATAGATGAAAAATGCCTAATGTCTCAACTATGACATACTGTTGGATGGCCAGTCCAATGAGTTGGTACATCAATGTGTGTAGCTGCAACAGGCTGTGCATGTGGACAATGAGTTAGTGCCTGAATTAGATAAGAGGAAGAGAGTAGGCTTCATTGTATCAAGGAAATTTTTCAGTGTTTTTGTGATCCAAGCTGTCCTCCAGTCAAAAGACACCCCCCCCCTTTCAATACTGTAGTCCCTCAGGCAAAGCTATATGGTTGTGAAACTTGGAACACCACATTCTCTAGCACAGGGGTCCATAGGTAGATTTCAAGAGGTCCACAAACTTGGATAGGGAAAAAGCACATCTTTATTTCCACTAACCAATCTCTAACTAAAATTTACCACTTCAACTACAAATTTGTTCAAAAACATTCTTCTCAGAAGGAGTCATTGGCTTTATCACACTGCCAAAGGGGTCCACAAAAAAAAAGGCTAAGAACCTCCGCTTTAAGTCCACCTACAGACAATGAAGAGTTCATGGTGGGCTCTAACAGACTGTAACAATTTTCCAATGACATTCTATTCTCAGAAGTGGTATGAAAGACAACACTGAAGAAATGCATCATCAGAAAAGGAGATTCGCTGTTCATGTGATTTAATAGCTGAGCAACATAAGGGCTTCAATGGTACCCACAAAAAGTCAAAAGATTGAGAAGAAAGTCATTAGCATGTTCTCTATATTTTCTGTAGAATATGGATTGCACAGGATGAGAAGACATGGATAGTTTTTAATAAAGAAAATTCCCAGGACAGCTAAAATATTTAAATTTATTTAATTTTTATTATTTATTCTTTATTTAAATTCAAATATGCTAATTATTTTAGCTATTGAATTAGGAATTTAAAAATTGTGATTCCATGGGAAAGTGTATATGCATGGTACATGCAGGTAATTAAAGTAATGTTGCAAAAATAATGAAAACATTTAAAATCTTTTCAGGATTTCAGGGAAGCAATGCAGATAAATAAAAATGATGCTATCCTGTTTCAAGCTGCTGGAATTTGCCATCACAGGTAATCAACGTGATTTGTGTTAAAATAGAAAGTGAAGTTAGCCAATATACCTAACGACACTACAGTTCTATTTGTATGTAAGTTAGAAAGTATAAAAAAGGATGAAATGGATTGAGAGTGGCAGAATACAAGAAAAAAAAGTTACAAAGCAATGTCTAAAAATGCCAAGAAAGAAATGTCTCTAATGCCTGTGGTTCAAGGCCCTAATGAAGCAAATTCTGGATTCTATTGCTTTATCTGTTTTAGTGACATGTGATTTCATCATCACTGAACTTATAAATAAACCTAGAGGTGCCAATCTGGATTAGTGGATGGTGTTTCACATCACTGCTCCTTGGTGTTATCATCCTTTGACAACTAGCTCTAGAAAGCTGGCTTTAGGTAATTGAATCAACAAATATAACTATTGCCTGTTAGTAAGTTAACATTGAAGATGTTTTAACTGATTCAAAAGAGTAGTTAATGTACTTGGGCTAGTAGAGAAGAGAAAGGAGGAAGGGAATAAGCATTTTATGGCACTTACTACATGCCAGGAACCCTGTTAAGCATTTTACAAACACTATCTCATTTAATGCTCACAAGAACCCCAAGAGATAGTGTTGTTATTAACCCCATTTAACAGTTGAGGAAACTGAGTCAGACAGCAGTTAAGTGACTTGCCCACAGTCACACAGCGGAGCCCTCAAATAACAGGATTTGAGGCCACATTCAAACTCAGGTCTTCCTGACTCCAAGTTCAGCCCTCTCTCCACTTAGCCACCTTGCTGCCTCATGCGCAATTCCATTATGTATGGTTTGAGATAGGCATGAAACTCTTTTTATCTTATTGCTTCATTCATTGATTCAGATAATAAATATTTATTTAATATCAAATGTACATAAAGCATAGATGTGATGAACCCTGATATTAAAATAGAAGATGACTTTTCAAATCCAGAGATTAGAAGACATAATTATTTTTAGCAAAGCTAGATATTACTTTTCAATCTTTTTGAAGTTAGTTTTAATCTTAAAAAATTTTAAGTGACAAGGAAAGGTTTTTAAATATCAAGTTTAACCTATATCATTTTTGTGCTAAGTATTTTTTCTTCACTTTTAGGCATATCATAAATTCAATTGATTTGTGAGTTAATTAAAATAAGTATATAGGATAATATGACAAATGAACTTGAATGAAAGTTAATAGATAATATCAGGTCAACCCTCTATGATACATAGTATTTCTTTTGTTTTATAAGAATCATCAGCTTATTGTACATTGTGATATTGTTTAGTCATAAGACAACTGGCTGATATTTTTAGTTTTCTAAAAATAAGATTTGATCTTCTCAAGTTAATTAGTCCCCACTTAAGTTTTAAAAGTATAGAAGAAATTCCATACTTTGAAAGAGTATTTTTCTTTCTCCACACCACTCCTTCCCCAAATTAAACAGGAATTCTGTAATACTCCATATTCATCATCAGTAATGGAAAAATGAAAAGGTAAAAATTGTCTTTTTTAACTTTACATAACTATTAGGATTTAGAGCAAAGGTGTCAAACACTGTGGGCAGCAAACCCAACTAAAATGTAATTGGGAAATATTTGGCAAAATAGATAAAAATACAATACAACATAATGTTAAAATGTGGTTTTTGAGCCCGTGGGCATCCTTATGTATAGCTTAGTAGCCTTGTTTATATTTGAGTTTGACACCACTAATTTAGAGAAGACAATCCAGAGTTGAGACCATAATTATACAAGGGAGGTTAGGTAACTGTGACATTTATAGAATTAAAAAGAATTTGAATAATTTAGGAAGTCAAAGTCAATTGTCTTCACTTCTTAATAAGTAATAAAAAAATAAACTAAATTATATAATACTTTAAAAATTATTCTTTACCATGGTGGAATATGGTCACAAAATACCTTTTTAAATAAGTGGTTAAGGTTGCTCCTGGTTATATGACTAAATCTGTTTCAAAATATTAGATACATGAGAGTTAAACAAATTTGTGATTTCTTAACAATATTCTTTTTTTCATTTTAAAGTGAAAACAAATGTTCATTTCACAAAGTTTAGAGTTCCTAGGATACCACATTTTTGTTTTATTTAAAGGATGAACATATTCAGGTTTGTATCTCCAAATTTTGGTAAGGCCAATGTTTCCAAAGCCTTCTTATTTTTCTGTTATACATTCCAAGTAGTAGAAGAGGATAAGGAAATGGAATGAGCAAGTAAAGTGTACAACCAGATCTTTTTTCTAACAGGCCAATGGTTTCCTTAAGTGAGGTCTTCTATACTAATCATAGATATTAATAAAGTTTGCAAACATGTTTATTCCAAAAGAAGCCTCCAAAAGCATTTAATCCCCTTAACTATGAAAAAAAGAAACAAGCATTTATTATATGCCTAGGCACTGTGCTAAGCACTTTATAAATATTTTCTCATTTGATCCTCACAGCAACTCTCTGAGAAAGGCATTATTATTATACCCATTTTTTATTGAGGATACTGAAAGCAGACAGAAGTTAAGTGACTCGCCCAAGGGTCATATGGCTAGTAAGAGTCTGGGGTGGAAGCATAATATTTTCTGCATGGTTCCTTACTCATTTTGGCCGTACACTAACATAATATATACCATTTAGGTTGAGTTGGCTTATACAAATCTGTGGTCTTATAAATATTTGAGCATAACGTATTAGGGGGAAAAATACACTTTAAAAAATGATATCAGAATAAGTGCTTCAAAAGCCATAGGGGTAGTAGATTTAGAATTGGAAAGGGCCTTAGAAAATATCTAGTCCAATCTTCTCATTTTTTAGATGAGAAAAGTGAGGCCCAGAGAAGTTGCAATGTGCCCAGCGTCACACCATCACTGTTAATTCATGTTAGTTCATCCAGGCATAGTTTGGGTTTGAGGGATAAACTTTTAACCTGATAATTAGTGAGTGTCACTGGTGGGTTCTTCTACCCCTGAGTGAAATGAGTCATCTCCATCTCCTTTTTTGCCTGTAATCAACTACATTGCTTTCTAATCATCTTTGTGTGATCTTTACCATCATAAAGCTCAGAACTGAGCATTGTTAAATACAGCTGCGATCATGAGCGCAGAATTTGGTTTGGGTTCTATATATAGAGGAAGCTAAAGTGACTGAAGGGACTGTGTTTGCAAAAAGGGGAGACCTGACGATTCCTCTTTCAAAAACCCTTTCTCATATTTAGCAACTGTTTTGATCTGGAGATTTTTTGTATAGATGTGACCAGATTCTCTTTCACTGAAATGTAGTTACAGCCATATAATAAAATGTCTTTAAGTTAGTGGTGCTTTGCAATTGCTGGTCTAGATTCTCTATCATTAAAAATAAGGTATTCTAAATTCCTAATAAATGCTAATTGATTGATGGATTGAAATTCAGCTAAAAGTCCATTTTTGAAAATTTTACAAGAAGTATTTGATAATTGCTAGTATCAATGATCTGTAACCCTGTCCCTCTTCGCTCACACCCCGAGTTCATCTCTACTTTTTGTTACAAAGAAATAATGTGATACAAAAGAAGATATATTGGACTGGTGACCATGAAATCTTAGCTCTAGTTTTGACTATGCCACTAACTAGCTTTGTGACAAGGCAGTTGTCCTCTATAGGTTCAATTTACTTCATCTATAAAATAAAGAGGTTGTGATAAATGCTCCCCAAGATTCTGTCCAGTTCTAAAATTCTCCAAATAAAGATTTTTTCAGTATATTCTTCACATAATAGGTGCTCAATAAATACTACGGACTCCAGGAAGTAGTCAATTTAATAGGAACTAACTGTGGTTCAGCTTGCCATTTTTCTCTAATATCCCAGAGAGAAAACAAGATTGTGGTTAGCAGTTCTTTACTTATTGGTAGAACTAGTCACAGTAAGTACTAAGATCTGACTCATAATCATATTTCTAAAGGGGAAACATAAAGAGTATGCTTTATAAAGAATTCTTCAAATTATACCTTGAGATCCTTTTCTGCAATAATAATAAAGTAAAATTATAAGACACATTGTGGATTGCTGTTTCTCAAATAATGCCAAATTGTGTAGGGAAGGTGAGCATGATTTTAAGCTGCATGAGAGTACTGGTCATGCCTGTTCTTTGTTCCTTGCCCACAACCAGAATTTAACACATGCTGCCAATCTGAAATCTCAAGGGATAAGTTATATTAATTGTGACTTTGCAATTGACTTCCCGTGTGGCCTTTTTGCAATGCACTTGACCTTCTAATTGGGACTAGTCAAGAGTTTTCCCATCAGTGACTGCCATACCTATCACTTAGGCATCACTCAAAATTGTCTTTCAGGGAGACACTGGGAATGTGGTGATAGTTATAGGAATTTGTGCTCAATTGTGCCATGAAATGAAAAAATGCCACAATGTGAAGTGTCAGCATCTACTAGCAACTCTGCCACTGGCTTTCACTTAAATCCAATTCACTTGCATGTCATAGCATCACCTCCATGATGCCATGGTCCTCTTTGAGAATGAAGGACAAACAACAGCAATAACACAAACAAAGTACCAATTTGAGGAGTGTGGTAGAGATAAGAGTAATTTCAGGTAACAGCCACACCGAAATCCAACAAACTACCAAGGAAAACTGAAAGGGAATTAGGAGGCCTTGTCTGTTAAAAAAAAAATGGATTGGAATAGTAATTTACCTCCTAAGATTCATATCAATTTTTTTAAATGAGGGTTATTTTAAAAGGCCAACAAATAACAGTGTCAAAATGTTATGGTTCAGGGCGGGGCATGGGAAGAGATTGAGAAATAAAATGTCCATGCTACAAATTTATTTTCAGACTGGGAGAGTTTGAAGAAGCTGTGTATTCATTCACTCGTGTCCTTGAACTCAATCCTTTTTTTGTGGATGCATATGTTGGTCGGGGAAATTCTTATATGGAATACGGTCATGAAGCAGCCGAGAAACAAGCACAAAAGGACTTTATAAAAGCCTTACACTTCAATCCAGCATACCCGAAAGCCAGAATTAGCTTTGGATATAATTTACAGGTAATTACACAAAGGGATACTTACTCATTAAACTTTTTCACTGGATATGACTGCAAACAGTGTGTAGTAAATGCTTTTTCTTTGCTAATGAAAGACTTACCATTTCCTTAACATAGATACATAGATAGATAGATAGATAGATAGATAGATAGATAGATAGATAGATAGATAGATGGATAGATTGATAGATAGATAGATAGATAGATAGACAGACAGACAGACAGACAGACAGACAGACAGACAGACAGACTGATAGATAGATAGATAGATAGATAGATAGATAGATAGATAGATAGATAGATAGATGGATGGATAGATAGATGGATAGATGGATAGATAGATAGATAGATAGATAGATAGATAGATAGATAGATAGACAGACAGACAGACAGACAGACAGACAGATAGATAGATAGATAGATAGATAGATAGATAGATAGATAGACAGACAGACAGACAGACAGACAGACAGACAGACAGACAGACAGATAGATAGATAGATAGATAGATAGATAGATAGATGGATGGATAGATAGTAAAGGATTACAAATTAGTAGCTTAGTATTCTCATGGCAGCAAAGAACCAGTAGCCTAAGAGCCAGTTGCTTTAAATTCAAGCCTGGTTCTCATGAAACTGAATTTTCTTTCCTTGGCTTTTTCAGGTGTTTTTTTTGTTGTTGTTGTTGTTTAGTTTCTTTATTAAGTCAACCCTTCTGTCCCTACAAAGGATATTTATTTCATATAAAAGAAGCTTGCTAATTTCATTTTCTTTCTTTCTTTCTTTCTTTTTTTGTTTTTGCTTTTAGGCAATTGGGGTTAAGTGACTTGCCCAAGGTCACACAGCTAGTAAGTGTCAAGTGTTGGGTCTGAGGCCGGATTTGAACTGAGGTCCTCCTGACTTCAGGGCTGGTGCTCTATCCACTGCGCCTAGCTGCCCCTTAATTTTCATTTTCTAAGCCCTTGCTTCTACAGGCTGAATCAGAATAGAATTTTAATGTTTTATAATATCAACTGGAAAGGGGATCTCTAATGTCCCAGGAATCTGTGTTTAACCTGGAGCTGTTTAGTATTTTTTAAAATCACTGATACAATAAAGAGATGGTTGATATACTTATCAAATCTGCAGATTATAAATCTGCAGTATATATTTATGTATTTTATTATATCAAATATATATTTACATATAAATCTGCAATATATATATATTTAACATTTTGCATGACAGAAACAGGGTCCAAAAAGAACTTGAAAGGGTAGAACTATGGAATAAGATGAAAGTTAATAGAGATACTGCAGTTAAAAAGGAAAAAAAATCAGCCCCCCCAAGACAAGAGGAGTCAGGGCTAGAGAGTTCACCTTGAAAAATCTCTCAGAGTTTATATAGTTTCATTGTTAATATTCTGATATGGCAGCCAGAAGAAGCAATCAAGAAGCATTTATTAGGTGCTTACTATATGTAAAGCACTGTTAAGAGTTGATAATTAACAATAACAAAGGTGAAACAATGTCTGCCCTCAAGAAGCTTACAATCTAATGGAGGAAATAACATGTAAACATACAAGTATATACAGAATATACATAAAATTAATACAAGATAGTTTGGGGAAGGAAGGCACTCTTGAAGCTAAATGTAGATACATAATTTTATCAACATTTTTCTTCTCTTCAAATTTTTTTTTTCAAAGTATACATTTGAAACGCCGTATTATTATCCCAGTAATAATATTGGAGAGTTTTTTCCTCACCTAGTGTCTGGGATTTTAAAATATTATCCAAAAGCAATTTGTGTAAATAGAAATTATACAACCAAATTTATTTTAATTGATTCAAATTTTAACACCTTTGCAGATGTGACCAGTCAATTTAATTCACTTATTCTTTGAATTATTTAGTCTCATTTAAAAAGATAGAGTAAAATTATACCCAAAATATCTTCAATTCATATGTGTGTGTGTGTGTGTATCTTTACGTTTAAATTTTTATTTCATTGAGGTAGAATTATAAGCATTTATACTAGAATATTTGGGGGGTTTTTCTTATTAAGGACTATTTCTCAGCATATTTGTATGACATATCATTCCAGTCTCAAGGAAAATTCCAAAAAGCTTGGAATCACTTTACCATTTGTGTGGATATTGATCCAGGAAACTACCAGGCATATGAAGGGAGAGGAATAGTCTGTCTTCAGATGGGAGATAATTTTGCTGCTATTCAAGATTTAAATTCTGCTCTAAAGGTAAAATAAGAACATAAAAATGCATTAGTGTAGGTTTGGTGGGACAAGGTTGGGTGACAGAAAGAGTGGGGAAAGGGTTTAAGCAGAAGAATTTTCACATTTCTGTTCTCACATAATCACCTCACATCTAGACTACTCTTAATAGCTTTCTAATTATTCTCCTCATTTCCAGTCTCTCCCCTCTGCAATCCACTCTCTTCAAAGCTGCCAAAATAATCTTCCTAAAACACAGACACATCATACTATGTCATTCCCCTGCTCAAGAAGATGATCTAGATCCCTACTGCCTCTAAGACAAAACATAGATATTTCAACTGAATAAAATCCTTCACAATCAGGCTACTTTTCAGACTTATTTCAATCGTTTCTCTTCATTCATGCCATATCCCAGCCAAACTGGCCTGTTTGCTATTTTCATATTACGTCAGTTCTTTACCTGCCCCTATACCTGTGTATAGGCTGGTCCTTCATAATTTTGTGCCAGGACCAACAAATTTTTAACTACTATGATGCTTTCCAGTGATGTAATTTTGTTCCTCTTTGAGAATGAAAAACGACAACCAACCAACCATTCTCTGTAGTTTCTATGACCCCTTCTTATGTGTAAAAGTATGTAGTTTTGCTTTGTAGGATTTTATAACTGTGAGTGCTATCCTCTCTCCCTTTGAATTAATGTTGCTTGTTGTAGAATATATATAGCCATATTAATAAATAAGGCCTTTCCCCATTAAGAGACTTGTTGTGAGTTGGAAGTTTATTCACTCATCCCTATGGAATCTAGTTTAGCATTTCACATGAAAAATACAAAGAAAAAAAAACCATAAGGACTTTCATAAGACCTTTGGTTCCCAAAGCCATTCTCCTGGTACTTGTTGATAATTGGCATATATCCTGGAAGGCAACACCGACTTCCCAGTCCCTCAGGCTCACAACCCAGGAGTCATTCTCAACACCTCACTATCTCTCACCCCCCCCACCCATATCTAATTTGTTGCCAAGGCTTATTGATTTCATCTTTGCAGCATCTCTCCAACATTCCTTCTTCTGTCCTCGAACATCGCCACCACTTTGGTGCAGGATTTCGTTATCTCATGCCTGAACTATTGCATTAGCCCGCTGGTGGGTCTGTCCGCTTCAAGTCTCTCCCCACTCCAATCCATCCTCCACTCAGCCACTAAAGTGATTTTCCCAAAGTCCAGCCATGTCACCCACCCACCTTTACTCAGTAAACTCCAGTCTCTACCACCTCCAAGATCAAATGCAAAGTCTTCTGTTTGTTGCTCAAAGCCCTTTATAACCTAGACCTCTCCTATCTTTCCTGTCTTCTCACATCTCACTTTCCAGCACACATTCTTCTTTTCAGTACAGACAGCCTCCTGGATATTCAATGAACAAGAGACTGCATCTCTTGATTCCTAGCATTTTCTCTTATATCTTAAATGTTCTCCCTTCTCATCTCCACAAACTTCCTTTAGCTAACTAAAATCTCATCTTTTTATTATTTATTTATTTATTTGGCTGGGCAATGGGGTTAAGTGACTCGCCCAGGGTCACACAGCTAGTAAGTGTTATGTGTCTGAGGTCAGATTTGAACTCGGGTTCTCCTGAATCCAGGGCCGGTGCTCTATCCACTGCGCCACCTAGCTGCCCCCTAAAATCTCATCTTTTACAGGAAGCCTTTCCCAACCCCTCTTAATTAAATTCTCTTATTAAATTCCCTCTCTTATTAAATTTCCATTTATCCTGTATATAGCTTGTTTCTCACATATTTGTTTGTCTTGTCTTGTCTCCCCCATTAAGTTGTGAGCTTCTTGAGGGCAGAGATTGTCTTTTGCTTCTTTTTTGGATTCCCAGAGTTTAACACAGTGTCTGACACATACTAGTGATTAATAAATGTTTATCGACTAGGAGTAACTATCTCTTATGTTATTGTCATTTCTTACTGCTTTCACCCCATAAAACAAGCTATCTCTCCCTCTTTGCTCAATAATAACCTCATAAATAAATTTTCCACTGGGCCCAAGTTGTCTCTTATGTCATAGAAAAGACTCTCCATGTTCTTCTCATTAGTTAGCCTGGAGTTATCAAGGAACATTACAGTGCCATACTATTATCTGCTCTCTGCTTTTCCCAACCCAACCAATCACCACTAAGATCCCAAATTGTATGTCTTGAAGCAGAGGTAACAGATAACACCGATCATTATATTGGAATCCTCCCAAAAAAGAGAGCATCTCTAACAAATATCAGAGATAGGGTTTTCTTACACAAAAATGGAAAGCTAAGAATATATCACTTGAGCTCCCACATCCTCATTCCAATTTAAATGTAAATTTGGAAACCCATAGTAACCAACTCCCATCTCTAACTAACTATAAAGAATACCTCAGGGGGGCAGCTAGGTGGAGCAGTGGATAGAGCACCGGCCCTGGAGTCAGGAAGACCTGAGTTAAAATCCGACCTCAGACACATAATACGTCCTAGCTGTGTGACCCTGGGCAAGTCACTTAACCCCAATTGCCTCAAAAAAAAAATACCTTAAATAAATCGCCTTTGGACAAGTAAGTCTTATATATGGATCTCCTTTTCCCTATCCTCATCTTGATGCAAGGTTACCATATTTTGTGTTTAGAGAGGTATTTGACGTAAATGAAAAAATAAAATGAGCAGAGCGAAACAGATTGTCCTCTTTTTCTTTTCAAATTCCTCAAACTCAAGCAGCCCTCATCCCAGTTGCTTCAGTGAGAAGCCCTAACCTAGCATTCTCTTCTCACCTCCACCTGTTAGAATCCCTAGCTTATGTAAGGGTAAGGCTCCATTGATTAACTTCATCCCACTTCTATTTAAAAATAAAAATAAAAACCCCTATCAAAAACTTTTTAGGCTAGAACACTTCTTAATTGAATCAATCAGTCAGAACCAAGTGTGGACTCCTGATGAAAAATGTTATCCACTTCCAGAAAAAGAACTGATGGAGTCTGAATGCAGATCGAGACACACTATTTTTCACTTTATTTTTTTCATGTTTTTTTCATTTCAGTCTGTTTCTTCATTCACAACATGACTAATATGAAAATATGTTTTACATGGTTGCACATATATAACCTATATAAAATTGCTTACTGTCTTAGGGAAGAGGGAGGTAAGGGAGGGAGGAAGGAAATTTGGAACTCAAAAAAAAATTTAAATGAATGTTAAAAATTGTCTTCACATGTATTTGGTAAAGCTAAAATTAAATACTTATGTATGTGTGTGTACGTGTGTGTGTGTGTGTGTGTGTATAAAGATACATAGAATTAATTGTCCAAGGGGGGAAAAAGAATTAGGTGTGAACAAGGCCTATATACAGTGGTATGCTGGTAAATATTTAACAACTGGCTCTCCGAAAAATGTACTTACATTTTACCTTTTTAAGTTTAATCTGCATTAACATTTTTCTCCATCACTTTCTTGTCTATAAAATCAGCAAAAATAAGCCAAGCCCTGATTTTACAAGGTATAAATGCTCACACTGAAAGTTTAACAATTAGAATAGGCATGAGCTGGTTCCAGCACACCCCTGCCCCCTGAAATAAATCAAAGGCTTTTGGTAAGGGTCTTGTTTACACCTAGTTCTGATGTAACTGGGTATAAAGAAGTGTTTGAGTTTACTGCTTAGCAGGTGGGGTAAGGATTGAAATCTGACTGGAATTCTGGGATTTGGAGAGAGAAAGGAAATTGAGAGAAGAGGGAGAGAGAGGAAAGAGAAGAAGGGAGGAAAGAGCATTTTCTGCCTGTCCAAAGAGGGACTGGAATTACCAGTCTTTGAGCTGGGAGAAATGGACTTCCCATAGTAACTGAAAACTTTGAACTTGTCTGCAGATGAGGAAGGCAGTCTGTGTAGAGACTTAAGGGTAACAGGGTTACCTCACAGCAAGATTCTCCTTTATATATCAGCTCAGACTGAACCTTTGAGGGGGGAGTGATTGCCATTTTAGAACTGAGGAAAGCTATGAGAAAGGTTTTATTCTCTCCAACTCTCTCCTCCCCATTCCTGTGCTTTTCTGTTACTTTTCTCAGTATTCTTTTAACCTATTTAACTTATTCTGTTTAGTGTAAAATCCATGACTGGTCATGAATTGTTATCATGTACTTCATGTCTATATATTTTTTTCTGTGTGATAAAAGGGGAAATGGATGTCAGTGACTAACTGGGCTACACAGTTACCTATTTAAAAATAGGTCCAAAAACAAGAACCAGAATTTGGTTCTGACCTGGGAGCAGAACCATATGCATGAGAGGATTTTGTAGTGATTCTTTCTATTAATAAATTGTACTTTTAAACTCTCTAAATTGGTCCATTGAAGTCCTAGGCTAATGAGCAAGTTATTGTTTTAGCCAGGTGAGGCTGGCTGCTCGGATTATAGGTGCATTAAACAAATCTCCAACCTCTGATGCCATGAGACAGAGAGAGTTTGGGGGGAACCATAAGGAAGGGCATGCCCCCAGGTACACCTAGTAAGCAGAGAAAAGTGTGGTCTGGGATGAATCATCTCTTCAAATTCTTACAAAAGGAAGGAATCAGTCCACATTTATTAGGTATCTGGTACTTGTGAGGCACTGTACTAAACCAGGAAAGGCGAACTAGGATTAAGAAGAGAGTGCCAAGTCCACAGTGACACCTTCTGGTTACACTAACATGTACTCTAGATTGGGAAATGCAGTTATGAAAGGATTCACCTGTAGGGCATGGTAGGTACCATGAACTAAATTTAAATGAAGTTAGTCAGTTAGTAATAGGAACCTTTCAAGAATGAGCTTCTAAAGACACAAAGAAAAATAACACACATGAAGTGAAAACTGAGGAGACCCCTTGTCTAAAGACACCTATGTGGATGCACAAGGACTCCAGATCAGCTTGGATTTTAAAAAGACATGTACATAAGATGAAAAGAAGGGATGGTAAAAAAAGAATAAAACATCACAATCCTGTAAAAATAGTATTATGAGGAAATATAACATGGAATGAATTGAAGCTAATGAGGATAGCTAGCAGCAACAGAAGGGTTTGGGTTTTTGTGTTTATCTGTTTGTTTTGTTTTGTTTTTTTAAATGCTATGTTGGGGAAAATAGGAGGATAAAATTAGGACCATTACTTGGGATGGATGGGATGATGACAGAGAAGATGAAGCTGAACATCAGCTTTTAACTTCATTTTCTCTCTGCCATGTAGAATGATCTTTGGAGTGGAAAGAACAGAACAAAAATTATAAATGTGGAGGTGAAACCCAAGAAAAAGGGCAAGCAAGCTAGCAAGAGAGAACTTAGCTGCCCCTGATGAGTTCAAATTACCAGAGCAACTTGAACAACATCCAGGGTTGTGCAGATAAATATTTAACATGGAGGGGGGGGAGGGAAAATGTGCTGAGGACTGACATACTTTCTGCATTGTTAATCTTTTCTTCATCACTTTAAGTCCAGGCAATCAACAAAACAAATAAAGCCCTGATTTGTGGTATTTGCTGATTTCCAAGGTGTAAATGTTCACACTAAAAATTTAACAGTTAGTTCTCTGGCTCCAGCACACCCCTGAGTCTACATCCCAGGGTTCTAAAATAATTCTACAATTATTAAGCCACTGTCCGTGATCTTTGAGAAATTGTGGATAATTGAAAATGTAGTAGCAATTTTCCCCAAAAAGGAAATGATGTCCTCAAAATATAGGGCAATGATCTTGACCTTGATTCCTGGCAAAATTCTAATATACATATTTATTTATTTGGCAAGGCAAGCCGACTTAAGTCACTTTCCCAGGGTCACACAAGTTAGTAGAGTCAAGTGTCTGAGATGGGATTTGAACTCAGGTCCTCCTGACTCCACTGAGCTACCTAGCTGCCCCTAATGTATATTATTAAAGGGTGGTTAGTAAAGATCTTAGAAAGGAAAATATATCTCTATAGCTATGTCTATTTATCTACATATGTTTCTATATCTATATACATATAAACACACATATGTGTGTGTATGTGTATGTATATGTATATGTATATATATTCCACTAAGAATTGGTCATCCCAGACTAACTTGTTTTTTCATATGGAACTACTAAAATGGTTACTCAGAGAAATTTGAAATATTTAACAAAGCCTCTCACATCATTTATCTGAACAAGATGGAGAGATTTGGACTAAACTATTGTCTATAATATATAATTAGGTGTAGAGTCATGGCTAGTCAGCAGCTCATCTGAAAAAGATCTGGAGATGTTAACGAACTGCAAGCTTAGTTTGAGCCAGTAGTATGATTTGGCAATTTGGAAGGTTAATCCACTCTGCTTCAGTTGCCCTGCCTGATTTCAACTCCAGAGAACAAGATGCTCCTCCTAGGATAAGCTTATCACTTCTAAACTCACCAGCATGCTGTTAACTGTAGCCTTGATGGACACCACCTCCCTCAGCCTCCTCTCCCCTCTGATTGGAGGGCTGGAGGTTGGAATAATAAACTCTTCCCAATACCTTCCTCTACAGAGGGCAGAAACTGGACTCTCAGCTCACTCCGCTCTGTATCTGCTGCCCTGCCTGGTATAAATGGAACAAGATGCCCCTATATTGGTTGCCCCCTGGTGTCCTGTTCCCTTCCTCCTTTGGTGTGTTGAATTCCCCCTTTAGATTGTAAGATCATTGAAGGAGAGACTTTCTTTTTATTAATTGTATCCCCAGCGCTTAGCATGGTGCCTGGCACATAGCAGGTATTGAATAAACGTTTATTGGATTAGATACAGTGTTAGATTCCAGTAAAAGAGGTTTACCTTTCATAAAGAGGAGGTAATAACAGTCCCATTGTGCTCTGCCCTAGTCAGACCAAATCTGAAGATTCTGTTCCAGGCACCACTTTTTCAGAAAAACAAACTGGAGAACATCCAGAAAAGGCATTATGAACAACATGAGGGTGTTTTTAGCTCAGAAAAGAGAAGATTTAGAGGAAAGATGATAGCTGTCTTCAAAAATATGTGGTGCCATTTGACTTGGCACCAGAGAGTAGAACCAAGAGGAGTGAGTGGAAATTGTGAAGGCGCATTTAAGCTCAATGTGAGGGGAAACTTCTAATAGAGCTCTTCAAAAGTGGAATTGACTAGCTCAGGTGGTCATCAGTTCCTCCTCACTAGAGTTCTTTGAATAAAGGCTAGAACACTTGTTCCTACGATTTTACTGCCTATTTCCTACAATTTTACTGCTTAGTCATCTTTTTTTTTTTTAGTCTCTCCCAGGGATTGTTTTCACAAAGGAAAAAAGGGTGAAAGGGTGAAAATGTCATTCTTTAATGTGAAATACTCCTACTGTTGTCTTTCAGATCACTACTTCTGCAGAATTTTTAACAAATCGTGGTGTGATTCATGAATTTATGGGTGAACGGCATATTGCTATGAAGGACTATCAGGCTGCACTTTCTATAAACCCTAAGTACTCTCTGGCTTACTTTAATGCAGGAAATATTTATTTACACCACAGGCAATTTTCCCAGGTAAGATGGTCATTACCCCACCACCCCATACCCCCAAAACAACTATTTTCTTATCAGAGATGGATTCTCTCCTCAGCCATTGCACTTTCACAATCTGGTTATAACTTACTTTTTCCAATGTTATTTCACATGATGCTCTTCCAAAGGCAGAGAATTTTTATAAGACAAAGATAAGAACCTATTTGATGAGGGTAGGTGTTCCATTTTTTCCATAGATTGACTTCTATATTTCTGCTAATGATAACATTTCTTTCTTAATCACTCTGTTAGCCCAGGAGACTTATCCTGTGGTAAACTAGCCAGTTTTTCCTCACTGGGCTGTATTATCTACATTATCTTAAATATTTAAATGTAAAGGTGAGGTTGATTGATTTATTCAACCTACCCCTTTTAAAATAAGTGATAAGGTGTCAAATCTGACTCATAAATCTTAGAGTATGTGTATAAAGTCTTTGCAAATCAATTAATGAAATGAAATGATGCCAGACCAGAACTCTGAGGGATTTCATCATGTTCTCTGGGTCCAGTATAAAAGCGTCAAGTTAGATGGAATCAGGCATTCAAACAAGTGGCAAGCCAGGAGAGAGCATTCCAGCAAATCCATGAAGAAGAATTTCTTGGGGTAGAAGTGGGGGGCAGGGAAGGAAAGGATAAGCTTGGTCTTTAGTCTTGGTTTAGGTCTTTATCCCACCCTCTTCTGGCCAGACAAAGACTTTACAAGCTTTGAAAGGTGAAGAGAATGTTAGACTTACTCTCTTCCATTTCCTAATCATCAGACTGCAAAGTCTACATGGGAGCCAAGGACAGACTGGATGTCAATCCATGGCTCCACAAGGAAACCAGCAAAAAAAAAAATCTATACCATGCCTAATGGGAACTTCTTGAGCATACCACAAATGGGTAGAACTTGTAGCAACCAAAAGCCATGAATTATCTGTTTGGCACAAGTGGTCTCTTAGCTTAAGCCCATGTTCTCCTGGACTCTATATACACTTACTTGTGGGAAAATGGATCACAGACTTTTGGAAGAATGTTTTATACCAACTGTCCTTACTGTACCACCATAGTGAATACTTTTCTAAAAACTACTTGGGATTGACTGATAACTAAAATGACTCTGATACTCTTGAGGCACATCAATGTGGAGTCAAGCCAATGCAACCTTGCTCTAGGATCTGAAATTCCTCTGTGGTAATTGGGATGGAGCTCCTCTGAGTTTATGTGAGCTTCATAAAAAGAGATAAGGAAATATTGTTACATAATCTTCCAATTACACAAAGATTATTTGCAAAGATCAAGAGCAAGGTCAGGGAGGAGCTAGGCAGGAATGGCAAAGAATAGGTAGGTCTCCTGGGTATCATCCTTTCATAGACGTGTGCTGTTAATTATGTGCATTATATCTCTATCTTCAAGGCATTTTGTTAATACTGAATTTCATCCTAAAGCCAAGCATATTCCACCTCAAGAATAAGTAAACACCTCCAGACCTGATTGTGTAGTCAAAAACCATTCCATCCTTCCTAGAAAGCTATTCCTGGGGGATTCAAGGGATGTCTTACAAACAGACAGAAAAGCAGGGAGTCCACTCTAAATTTATCTAGGTTCTACCATCATTTTTTTTACTCCAACCACAAATAAAGAAACAGATTTCCAATTGTCTAAATCTCAATTTTGTTTTGGATCTTGGCAATCAAGATATATTATATCTAGAGTTTCTCTGGTTGTATTTTGGTGTTATAGCTTGCTGGTGTTTCTGGAAGTCATCTGAGAATTTTATCAATTTAATTCTTTTTCTTCTGGCTCCAGTGCTCTGGACCATTTTCTTTTTTTAAAAAAAATATTTAATATTTTATCTTACATGTGAAAATAATTTTTAACATTTTTTAAATTTTGAGTTCCAAATTCTCTTCTCCCCCTTCATTGAGAAGGCAAGAAATTTTATATAAGTTACGCATGTACAAAATAGACAAGAAAGAAGTTAAGGAGATAAATAAAATTTTAGAAAAGTTAGTTATGATAGCCCTCTGGAGAATATTGATGAAAACAGAAAGAAGAGTACCTTTTCTCAGCTGTGCTTCACCTTCATAAAAATTGACCATGTGTTAAAGTATAAAAACCTCACAAATGCAGAAAAGCAGAAATAGTAAATGCTTCTTTTTCTTACCATAATACATAAAAATTAATTGGAATAAGGGGCCTTTGAAGTATATAAAAATTAATTGGAAACTAAATAAGCTAATCCTAAAGAATGGGTGGGTCAAAGAACAAGTCATAGAAATAGTCAATAATTTCATCAAAGATGATGACAATACACCAAAATTTCTGGGATACAGGCACAGAAACACTTTGGGAGAAATGTGTATCTCTAAATACATACATCAATAAAAGAGTAAGAACATATCAATGAATTGGGCATGCAACTAAAAAAATACTAGAAAGTCAACAATTAAATACCATAATAATTAACAACAATTAAACACCACAATAGAAATCCTGGAAATCAAAGGAGAAATGAATGAAATTGAAAGTTAAAAAATTGTTGAACATATAAAACTAGGAGCTGAGTTATTGGGTTTTTTTTTTAAGAAACAAAGCAATAAAATGGATAAACCATTGGCTAATTTGCTTTTTTTTTAAAGAAGGAAACTAAATTACCAGTATCAAAAATGAAAAGGTGACTTCACAACCAATGAAGAAATAAAAACATTATTAGGAGTGATTTTTTCAACTACATACCAATAAAATTGGCAATATACATGAAATGGATGAATATTTATAAAAATATAAATTGCCCAGATTAAAGGAACAAGAAATATTATACTTAAATAACCACATTTGTGAAAAATAAATTGAACAAATAAATGAACTCCCAAAGGAAAAAAAAAACAGGACCAGATGGAGTCATAAATCAACTCTATCAAACTTTTAAAGAACAATTAATATATACTAGCAAAGAGATTACAGCAATATATCACAAAGATCATACACTATGACCAGAATGGATTTTATGCCAAGAATGCAGAGCTGATTCAATATAAGGAAAACTGTAAGTATAATTAACCATATCAAAAACAAAAACAAAAATCACATGATTTTTCAATAGATGCAGAAAAAAGTTTCTGACAAAATATAACATTCATTCCAATTTTTAAAAAAGACAATAGGAAACACAGGAATAAATAAAGTTTTCCTTAAAATGATAGTGAGATTTATACATACATATGTGTGTGTTTACATATATTTATGTATATAAAACCAAGTGCCAGCATTATCTGTAATGGATTCAAGCTTTAAGCCTTATCAATAAGGTTAGGAGTGAAGTAAAGATGTCCATTAACACCATTAATATTCAATATCAAGGGCAGTTAGGTGGCTCAGTGGATGGAGCTCCAGCCTTGGAGTCAGGAGGACTTGAGTTCAAATTTGACCTCAGACACATGATGCTCACTCGCTATGTGACCCTGGGCAAGTCAAAAAAAATCAATATCGTACTAGAAATGCTAGCTATAGCTATAAGACAAGAAAAAGAAATTGAAGAAATAAGCATAGACAATGAAATGATGTCTATTTACTCTTTTTCTTTTTTTCCTATGGGAGGAGGAGATGGGAGGGAGAAAAAACAGATTTTTGTTCATTGAAGAAAAAATTCAATTTTTGTAAGAAGTGCTGGATCCTTCTAGATAAGTGGCACAATGGAGAAAATTCTGTACCTGAAGTCAGAATGACCTGGGTTCAAATCCAGCCTCAGACACTTACTTACTAGCTATGTGACCCTGGGCAAGACAGTTCATTTTGCTTCAGTGTCCTCAACTATAAAATGGGGATCAGAATAGCACCTACCTACAAGGGTTGCTGTGAAGATCAAATTAGATAATATTTACAAAACACTTCATTTCCCTTCTCTTTCCTTCTTTATCAATCTGCAATTCAAGTACATTGAATACAATTCAATAACGCAGGTTTCATACAATTAACAAGCTGAGAATGCAGCCACTCAACACCTGAAATGGACAAAGTCTTAACAGTTAATTGTTTCTGTTTCCTGCTCCTTTTTCTTCCTGTAATTTCATCATGTGGATTGGGAGAACTCAACTGATCAGGGGTTCCCTAATCATGTTCCAATTATATTTATGTGGAAAAACTTTCTAAGATGCTTTGCAACTCTAAAGTTCTGTGATTCTGAATATTCCAGAAATGTGAGCTTCCTCAGCATTTTTATTCTTTTTTTTATGTATTTGTCATTGCAAAATATAGCTGAATTATACCTACTCATGTGGTTTAGAACCTAATTTAGAATTTTTTCTCTCACTTGGAAATTGTCTTCATATGCAAAAGGTTTTTTTTCCCCCTTACTTTCTGGAAGTTCTCTTTCCTTAAGACAGAAAATGCTACATAGCCTTTGTTATCTGTGTATTTTGTAGGCTAATGACTTCTACTCCAAGGCATTGGAATTTGACCCACTAAATGATTCTGCAGTCTTGAATCGAGGTATCACAAATATAATACTACAGAAATTTGAAGAAGCAAAAGAAGATTTTATAAAGGCAATTCACCTCTGTCCTTTTTGGGCTGCAGTATATTATAACAAGGCACACTTACACTACAATTTACAACAATATGAAACAGCTGAAAAGGATCTTAGCACAGGTATATTTTTTTATTTCCTGGTGAAATTGAGGTGATCGATACATTGAAATTAGTTTAAAAACAAGTAAAAATTACCCAAGAAAACAAAAATAAAACTTAAAGTATAAATAGTATATAGTATAAGTTCTATAATTATATCAACCTATCTCTTTCATGTTAACTTCATAATTCAAAGAGTCAATATGATGAAACATTTACAGTATTTTTAATAATTAAGCCTCCATAAATTCTTACTTTGATATCTCATGATTTTGTGGTAACTCTGGGTTCTCAAAGTATATGCCAACAAAGCCCAAGCTCTGGTTAGTTCTACCATGTGAGAAAAGTTTTGACTACAGTCCTAAGTATGCTTCTCAAAGACTAGAATCACTGAATGTGCAAATACTCATCTCTAATAAGCTGGCAACTTGGTGATGGAATTCTATGGTAATGACACTCTACTGAAAATACAAAAATGCCCTCAGATTTTTGTGTTCCTATTTTGCTTCTGAATTGGTTATGTCAAAGTGACAGAAAGGAGGGCAAATGGGGTGAAGAATCACTTTCTTAAAACTATCAGTAAGAACTAAATATTAGATCCTTGTCCAGTAACCAAAGACCAGATATGGTACTAGAAGAACAGGTTATGAATTTTGGCATTCCCACTACAAGTGAAACCAAAAAAACAAAACAAAATGGTAGCTAAATAGGAGGTATCAGAGGTTCTCCCTAGAAATAAGCAAATAAAGGAACTGGTATAACGGTATTACAAAACATAGAGAAATAGTATTTCATTGAACAATTCACCATCTTGTATTATTCATGATAAGCAGTTTGCAAGAAGACTGCCATGGAAATGGCAACTATACACCAATTTAATGGCAGCTTATACATCAGCATTTATATTATAAAGGATGAGGAGGTATAGAAATAATATGAAGAATTTGTCTTTTTTTTTTTCTAAAATCTATTGATGCCATTACCCCGGGGCTACTTAATACCTTCTGTTGACATTATGATTGGTTCTTATTTCCACATGTAGCTTTCCTAGAACTTAGAAGGAAAGACATTTTAAGCCAGAATAATTCATGCATCCCTATTAGCTTTGGGAAGACTTAAATAAATCAGCAAACTCAGAGAGTAACTCTATTTAGGTTGATACCTTTTATTTGTTAAAAGTATAGTTAACGGTGGATTTAGAAATAGGGAAATTCTGAGAAGGCATAGGATGAGGAGAGCTGGGGAACCTAAAAAAAATTTTCTGGTTTTCTCCTGAGGTAGCTTTTTATATTAAATTAACAGAAACAGAAACATATATAGGAAGGGATCTTCACAGTAGTTTTTATTATTTATTTTGAATTATTGTGAATTTCCAAAATATTAGATACACCAATATTCAAGTTTAACTAAGAAAAAAAAATTCAAAAGCAAATATAAATGATTTTCAGATTAGCCATGTCACCATACCCTCCATTCCTCTAAAAAATAATCTTTTTGAAAATAAAATAATGTGTAAGTATTCACTGAGAAATAACACTAAATATAGAGTGCTTAAGTTCTATATAAACTTAATTTGTTTTTTAAGTGTATAATTTATTTACATAATATTTAATATATTTTGTTATATATAATTTAATATGTTAATATAGCCATTTTACTGATATAAAATGTCAACATTAAATAATAATATAATTTACATAATAATAATTAAAACTTGAATTCAAAGAGAAGCATGTTTTATCCTTTAAGCTGTTTTTTAAACCTCTCCATATTTTTCATCCCTCAAAGAACATCTCCTTAAAGTTTTCTCATTTGCTCAAGAATCAAGTATCTTCATCCTAAATCAAAAGTTAGGTTTTAAAGGATTATAAACTCCAATTTTGCCAATTAAGGTATATTAGAAAGAATGCATATAAGGTAACATAGCAAAATAAATTTGACACCATAGATGATTTGTTGAAATGTGATTTCAATATTAGTGATTTTTAAGTTTTAAAGTAATTTATAACCCCCTAAAATGACACAATTTTAAATTAATGGAATAAGATAAATCTTGAAATGTATTATTGTCTTTTGCAGCCTTATCATTACAACCTAATAATCATCTGGCATATAAACTCAGAGCAGATGTTCGTGGAAAAATGGGTTTGATTGAAGAAGCTCTGAAGGACTATAACCAATCACTCGACCTTCAAGAATTTGCTAAAGTTTAAATTAGATTAGATAGGCTATACAAAGTACTGCAGAGAAACAGTAGCCTTTCTTCTCTAAAATGGAATCTATTTTTGAAAAGAATGAATTAGTATCACTGCTGAATGATTTTTAAACTTTCATATAATTATCAAAACAATTAGCAGCTTAATATTTATTCCATCCTGTGATTTTTAAATTACTCGATTATCAGCTGCATACATTTGGCGAGCCTGAATAACTGAGTTTCTTGATGGCATTTAACTGCTACTGTTCCTTAAAGAATACTAAAATATTGAAGTAGTCGCTTTAAATTAAGAATTTCTTTTTGAAGTAGTAATACCTACCATGTAGATACAAGAAAAAAAGTGTCATATCTTAAAGAGCCAAATAGTAACATTTGCAATAGAGCTCAATTTTTTTTTTAAAGAAAAATGATCTTCCTCACTAAAAAGAAAGAAATGTGAGTGTTGGGAAATTGCTTTTTTTCTTATTGCCCACAATAATGTGCATTATTATAAGCATCCTTTCAATGGCATATGTATTCTCCAAATGTACTGCTGTAAACAAATTTTTTCTTGAACATAGTAATTTATGGAGGCATTCTCCTGATCAGCATATGCTTTTTAAGGGTGCACATACCTTATTTCTTTCAGACATCTTAGTGTCATGAGATACATCATATAAACGTAATCAATATCAATACTCTATCTCCCTGCCTTAAGTATACAAATTTGCATCAGTGCAAGCACTTTCCAACAGTGAACCACTTCTTTCACTGAGAAGATCCTTTCTGTAATGAGTCCTGAGAAGCTCCCCAAAGTCTTCTAGGAACTTCTTTCCTTTTTGATAGTGACAAATTTGCTACTACTACAGTAAGTTTTCTTCAACCCTCACAGGGTCAATGCAGGTTGAGACAAATGTTAGAATTCCTTTTCTACCTCCCACTTTCATTTCTACTGGTTTATATCCTGCCCACCTCAAGTGCTTTGATCTCACTTGAACTCATAAACATTCTTAAAGTAAATGATGTTCACCCACCTCCCATGCTAATTAGCCAATCATACCACATGGCAAGGCGAAAAAATAGATTTTAATTTTTCTTCTTTGTGGAGATATTTCTTGATTAAGTTTCTTGTCTTAGTATTTATCAAACCAGTAACAGGTTTTCCATTTCTTGATAGCAGGAATGAGTCAACTCCATTACTTAACTGTTGATTTCCAGGAGTGTGATTTTATAGTTTGACTGAGTTGGCAAGGCATTATGTAAAGATAAGCAATTGTTATTTGCACATAGTATGACTTTTGCTTTAACTGCTGAAAGATAATGATTGTGACTCAAGCTATATTGTAAAAGAAGAGTGTTCAAGCTATAAGAAAATATCCGATTACGGCCTCTTTAGGAAATAGATATCTAATGTCTGTCTCAGTTGTAGCCAGTAGATCCAACCCCTTCCCCAGTGACCTTCAACATTCGCTTTAATAACTCCCTAAATGGTTTCATATTTGTCATCTATTTGTTGAGGTGCTAGCTAAGTTTGTCTGGGTTATTTGGATTTCAAACCCGCACATTATTTTGTCTTCACAGTTATAAATTTGAGCATTGGAACCCAAATTAATTCAAATCAACTGTATTAATGTCATGTTAGCATTATAAATTTAATGGAAAAGTTAGGAAAAGCCAAAGTTTTGTTCGGTAGCTGTAATCCCAATGAACTGGCAAAAGAAAGAACACTTTTTTTTTTCTTTTCCTGATGGAGTTTTTAAAATGTGTAAATTTAAACCACTCCCCAGAAATGAGCAAATAATAAGCATTAAACTCTATTTTCAATATTCATATTCTCTTGCAGTCTTTCTTAATGCATATAATACAATTTTACATTTTTTAAATGTCTGTGCAAATAATCTTGTGTTCTGCTATTATCTGTTAACTTTATTTATTATAAAAAATTTCCATGTTTCTTATAGTCCAAATTATGTCCTGTGTTGATGTCTCATTGTTGCATGTAGGTGACCTTGAAAGCTATGCTGGCTGAACACGGACTCTGGCAAGGACTTCAAGTATAAGTTCAGCAACAGACTCTATGTCTGCTGCCCTAGGACCTGCCTCACTAAGCATAGATAGGCACAGTATGAACAAGTTGGCCATGAGAAAATGGAATTTTGTCAGCCACAGAAATTCATGAAGAACCATCCACTATGACAAACAAAATAATTTGGTTTTTTTTTAAAGGAGTACCACAGTGATGAAATCTGATTTTTTTAAGTATTGATTTTTTAAAGCCCACATATTTTTTTCGTTTTAATAGCTCTATCATAATGTTAAGATATAATTATAATAACTGTTTAACATCATAGTTTTCTTGACCCTTCATCTATTGTAGGGCATTTGGATCATTTCCGATTTGTAATTGTTATAAATGATACTATGAAAATATTTATAGAAATTACATTGGTTTTTTGTTTCAGTTGTTCAGAGAATATATCCTCAAAGTGGAATTTGTAGTTCTTTTACATATTGCCAGATAATTCTATAGAAAGACTGAACCAATTAACAATGCAATTAGTAAAGTGTATGTTTCCCTACATTCCACCAACATGAGGTTTCATCATTTATTTTGCTAAATGCCGGTTATGTGCCAGACTCTGTGCTAAGTACTTGGGATACAAATAGAAAAGACAATCCTTGCTCTCAAAGAGCTCATATTGTAATGGGAAAGATAAACATAAAGGATGTTTCAGCTGCAAATAAGATGGAAAGGCCCCATGGTCCTCAGGGTATAAAATCTGATAAAATCATGTCTGCTTCTGATGTTGAACCATTTGGCAGTTCCACATATGAAGTTGAGGTTGGTGGTGGGTAGGACGGTGGGCCCTGGATATATCCACAGGGTTTGCTTTCCTTGATGATGCCTGCAATGGCCAGAATGGAAGTAGGGCCTGTGATGTGAAGGGCATTGCTATTTCTAGGGCACTTGGGCTCAGGGTCCTGGGCTGATTCAATTGAGGTCTGAGGGGAGGTGGTGGTTGTCATGCTGGCAGTAGTTTAATTTGCCTAACTCATGGTGCCTTCTATCTTTCCCTAGAGGTGTCGGTGCAACAACTTATTGACATACACACTAAAGGCAGGAATTTGGAACAAAGGATTGAAGTGATAGAAGTGAAAAATGATGTCTTGAAGCATCTCCACCTAGAAGTTTTTAACTTCTTTGGCCTCCCTCCCCCTCATCCCCACTGCATTCATTTACACGGGCAACACAAAAGAATCTTATGGTTGAGAAAACTGGGTGGCCTCAGACTCAGTCAGCCCTTGATTATTTTATTGAAAGCAGAGCCCATAAAATGATTTTGGATGGGTGTAGTTTAATATTTAGTGGGCATTATTTAGTGGGCATCATAAGGACTTCCTAACCCTAAATTAGATAGAAACTTTGATCAGGTAGTTGAGGTTTTAAAAATAAACTTATTGGCTATGGTCATTACTTGCCCTCTGGAGGCAAACTTCTTTTACAGAGGAAAAGTCTAGCATAACCAAAATTCTGGAAAGAAAAAAATTTTGACATTTTTTAATCTGTGTGTACACATTATCTTGTGTTCTGTAGTTTTCCTTTAAAGTTATTTTTGAACTGATAGACAAAAGCAGCTAAGGATTTTTCTTTAGTCTGATAACTGGGTATGTGAGCTCCCTGTCTTTGAAAAGAACTGAAGCTTACTTGGTCCAATTAGCTTTAAGACAACACAGAAATGGCAGAGGTTATTCCTTTTCTTCTTGAGGAAGAAGAAGCTACACACACCCCACCAGCTGAGGATGGCAGAAGCAAAATAAAAGGAAGGAAGGAAGGAAGGAAGGAAGGAAGGAAGGAAGGAAGGAAGGAAGGAAGGAAGGAAGGAAGGAAGGAAGGAAGGAAGGAAGGAAGGAAGGAAGGAAAAGGAAGGAAGGAAGGAAAGAGAAGGAAGGAAGGAAGGAAGGAAGGAAGGAAGGAAGGAAGGAAGGAAGGAAGGAAGGAAGGAAGAGGAAGGAAGGAAGGAAGGAAGGAAGGAAGGAAGAGGAAGGAAGGAAGGAAGGAAGGAAGGAAGGAAGGAAGGAAGGAAGAGGAAGGAAGGAAGGAAGGAAGGAAGGAAGAGGAAGGAAGGAAGGAAGGAAGGAAGGAAGGAAGGAAGGAAGGAAGGAAGGAAGGAAAAGGAAGGAAGGAAGGAAGGAAGGAAGGAAGGAAGGAAGGAAGGAAGGAAGGAAGGAAGGAAGGAAAGGAAGGAAGGAAGGAAGGAAGGAAGGAAGGAAGGAAGGAAGGAAGCTCTACAATTTCATGGCTATTGGTGCGTTACCTCAAAATGACAGCAGAAATCACACAACTGGAAGTACACGAACAAGCAGTATCTACTCAAGACCAACAAGAAGTCATACCTAGCAAAGACAACACGTCATTACTGCCATGTCCTCACAGACCACAGAAACCTGGCAGAAAGAGCACACTGTGCTAGCCCAATGAAAAACACCACGATAACATCACCATAAAACATCATTAGACCTATGATATCATGCATACACATTCCCTCCATGTTTGCCCCATCATTACTTTTTCCCTAAAGTGGGTTTGTTCTTCCCATGGATGGTCTGTGTGGTCATGAGGGAGTATGTTCCACAGTATTAAGGAAAAGGTTCTACTGCTACTTCTTCTTTCCCTGATAACTGCATTTAGTTTTTTTCCTTCATCTCAATTTTGCTATTCACTCATTTTCCAGGCATATCCGACTCTTCGTGACCTCATTTGGGGTTTTCTTAGCAAAGATACTAGAGTGGTTTGCCATTTCCTTCTCCAGCTTATTTTACAGATGAGGAAACTGAGGCAAATGGGGTTAAGTGACTTTCCCAGCGTCACACAGCTAAGGCCAGATTTGAACTCAGGAAAAGTCATTATCCTGACCCAGGTCTGACTCTACTGTGTCACCTTAGCCACCCCCATAACATCATTTGGCTGAATAGTAAAAATAAACAATACAGATTTACAAGCCTCAATAAATGTCT